CCTGTGACTGCCTCATGGCTGGGAGCTGCACATGGCTAGGTGCGTGCCCTCCGGCCGGGGGCATGCCCCATGCCAGGGTGGGACACTGTTGTCCAGTGCATGCCCCATGGCAGGTGCTGCCCCACAACAGTGCCCTGGCACCCCTGGGAAAGGCTCCCGGTGCAGGTGCTGCTCACAGCTCTGGGCCTGCGCATTCTGCCCCATCCCTCTGTGCTTCCCCCGCCACTCGCCGGCCGGGCTGTGGCTCCTTGGAGAAGGTGCATGTGGCCCCACGTGGGATTTCAGTTCCCTAAAGGGGATTCCCAGGTGCCAGGTTTGAAACTGAGCCCAAATCGTGGCTCCTTTCTGCCAAGCACCTCTCCCATCCCAGCTGCCAGCCAGGGACTCGATGCCCTGGCTGGGCTGCAGTTTTCCAAGGTACCTGTCCTCAGTTTGCCTGCCGGAGCCATGGCCGTGCAGGGGGTAAAGCCACCCAATGGGGCTGTGCTGAGCCCATGGGGCAGCTCTGCTAGCTGGCAGCTTTGTGCCAAAGCACACCTCACAAACACCCTTTTCTGAGACCACTAATACATCATCATTATTATTATTATTATTGTTGTTGTTGTTGTTGTTATTGAAAGCAGGATTGTTGGGTCCGGCTGCATGTCCCTGGCACACGCAGCTCCCTCTGAAATCACCCAGGAGCAGCTGAAGAGCAAGACGCCCATTCGGCTCGGACTAGAACCAGGCACTTTCTTGGCGTTTGCTGCTGCCCATGGCCGAGCTGGCGAGGATGGAGGGGGGTATCAGCCCCAAGGCCTCAGCCTGGCACTGCCACCCGGGGCCGCAGGCAATTCCCTCTCAGTGGGTGCTGGGAATTGCCCGGGCCAGCAATCGCCCTTGCCCGGGCACAAGTGCTGGGGGTTCGAATGCCCTGCCTGCACTGGGATGGGTGCAGGCAGGGCCCTGCCCTCAGCCTCGCCAAGGTGCCTCCCATCTGCCACCCGCAGCCTGGTTGAAAACAGGATGCCAGCCTGACTTTGGCTCCCACTGACTCATCTTGAAACCGTCAGCTAAAGCGGCACCAGCAGTTCTTCAGTGCTGCCAAGCCCCGGGCACCTGCCCTGGCCAGGATGCTTTCTGCCAAAAGGGGAAGCGGGCACGTGTGCCTCAGCAGCATCTGCACAGAAAGCTGCCTCCCGTGCCCGGGCTGCGGACCTGCCCCTGTCCTGCTCTGGCCACGTGCCCGGTTGTTTTCTTTGCTGGCATTGCTGTCCAGGCACCAAGTCTCCCCCAAAGCCCTAGCAGGGGAAGAGAGATGGGGAAACTGAGGCAGCGGCAGGGAGGGGAGCCCCGAGGCGTGCAGTGCTGTCCCTGGAGCTGGGAGTGGCACACACAGAGCTGGGAGCAGGGCCCCAAACTGCTCCCTGGGGGTCCTCGGGCTGCATGAGCACCCCTGGGGTCTGCACCCACCACTGCACCCTTGCTCCTGCTGGCTGCCCGGATCCTGGGAGCAAGGATGGCCGCAGCGCTAGCAGTGAGGTGAGGGGCCAGGCAGCGGCTGGGCACAGTGCCGTGCCAGTGCACCAGGGTGTAGCAGGGCTCTGCAGTTTCAGTGCCACCTTGAGAGCCCTCAGAGGCCAACGGCAGCTCTGGGGCTGGGTGTTTTTTCCTCCCCAGCCATGTCCCCTGTTATCTTTTCTCACCTCCTTTCTGCATTTCTTCCCCTGCGTGATTGAGAGCCCAGATACCGGGCATTGCATGGCTCACATGGTGCCGTTCCCAGCCTGGCCTGCCCCAACCCCGCTGGCTGCAGGCAGCGCTCCCTGGCTGGCTGCACCTGCCAGCATCATCCTCGCCGCTGTCCCTGTCCCTGTGTGTGCC